GCGGAGCCCGGGATCAGCGGGACAATGGCGGGGGGGGACAGCAGAGGGAGGGGGGGGCCGCACCGATCGTCGCTAAATACAAGCGATCCGCCGGCTGTAAAGGGTATAATGTATATTAACGGGCACCGCTGCCCGTTTTTAAATTGCGGCCATTTCCCGCTCGCGCGCAAGGGGGCGTGTCTGAGCGGACGTCTAGAGACGCCCGCTCAGATCTAGAGAGCTCCTGGCCGGCCGTTTTTTTACTACGGCCGGCCCGGAGGCAGTTAAGGAGTGTTCTTCCTGTGGTTTGATATATAGATGCCATACCCACCTTTAAAAGGTTTTGCAGACATAAGGTTGAGACAAGCAAACAGACAATTTCTACAAACATTGTAAAGTACATATTTCTGCAAGTACCATAGCATCACATACCTGTACAACCTGAGCATTCTCTCCTTCAGTTTCTTCTATTACAATGCTGGGGTGGTCTGATTCATAGTGTGTCTCTAGCTGAGTCTGGGAAGTAAAAAGCTCCCCACACAGTTCACAACCAAATGTGTTCTCCGTTTCGTTAAAGTGGTTGGTGGCAACATGGTGCTGCAGGGCTCCAGGGAACTGGAAACACTCGCTGCAGTAAAGACACTGGAACGGCTGGGACCCTGAAATGGGACAAAAGTAAACAGTTAAAGCTAAACTATAATGAATATTCCTTCTTAAAGGCAAAAAAAGCCCCATTCATACTTAGGCATTTTGTCTTGCGCCAAAAGTCTCGACACAAGAAATCCCATTCATTTCACTGGCCTACGCCTTCCCACCTGAGCATTTTGTCGCAAGCCACTGGAAAAAGTACATAAGCTTCTTTCGGGCAGTTCACAGCGTTTGACCCCATGGACTTCAATGGAAATGCCATGTATTTTGCACCTTTTTGTGCGTGTTTGTCCACTGACCGCAATGTCTTTCAATCTGCCAGCTAAGGTGCAAGTCTTCATGTACGCGCCTGACACCTGGGTGTGAATGCGGGCTTCAAGGTCTTACTGCTTCCTGCTTTGCAGTTCTCCATGGTTGTGCTTTATTGTTCCTTCTTACAATGCACTCAACTGACTCATTGAACACAATGCACTACCTGTGTATCTGATATCTTGAGGCTGATTTAAGAAAGAAGTTGAAAAGCGCTAATGCAATAAATTGACTATTGTCCAAACACGTGAAAAGCAAATACATGTAATTCCCAAATACCCATTTCATCTACACATGACTGGATAGTTAAAGGGAACATTTACACAATGTATTTTCTGAATATTCTCAACTCCTTTAAATCAGCCCACTTATCTTAGCATATGTTAAGCACTTCTGAGTGACTGTAGTGGAACACAGAGCTCTCTCTAGTGATTATTTTACAGATCTCTACATTTAATATGAAAAAAAGAGAGACGGGCGAGCATGTATAAATAAAAAGCGATTGTCACATCAAAAATAACTTAAAAGGCAAATAACTCAAAATATGCCCTTGCTAAAAAAAAATGCCATAGACCTGAAGAGTAGATACTGCTATCTGCTGCACACCCCAGTATTACTTTACACAGCGACCTGCAGAGTGTAGAGCCAGTGCTGTCCTACGAATGTCTCTCTAATGCTGCAGAGAAAACAGATTAGAGAAGAGGCTGATCGCATGACTGACAAGTCACGTGATCTGGCTCTCCTCCTGACTTGTTATACTGTATGTACAGGTTATAAACAGAAACACCCATCATTTGCTCTAGACTTTCATGCTAATCTAAAGTTCTTATTACAGATGGTCTGTCACTTGCCTGAGTGTTTGCATTTGATGTGAACTTGTAGTGCGGCAGGCGTGGGGTAGGTCTGCTTACATTTATCACATTCATACACCTTCCCATCTGAAATGGAAAAGAAGAGGGGCATTGTTATTGTTACCACACATGATATCTGTATCATATGGAACAGTTGGGCCTCATTTCCTAGTCTAGCATAGAGCTGACCTGTCTGTGATATTTGGTATTAGTGAAACAATTACGTTCTTTTATGTGCCTAACAAAGCAGTATTGAGTTTTGCTTGTGGCACCTGGGTTACAATTCAGTCAGATGCAATTCGGAAAGGTGCCACTGAGCCTGATCATACAAAGCATGAGTGTCACCGGTGATGCAACATATACGAGCATCTCGCATGACAATCCATCCATGAAGAGTGCAATTAAAGTGACATTAAAAGATTTTTTTCCCCTCCCCCCAATGTTAATGTAAAGACTTACCTTAAATGATGCCTCTTAATCCGTTCATCTTTTTCCTGTCGTTTTTAGCTGTCCCTCCAGCGCTGCTGCGGGTCTCCGATCCAGTGCCGACTCCTCTGTCCTCTTCTCTCATGTCCCACGGAGTCTGTGCGGGTGCACGATGCTCCATAGACTTACCTTGTGTCTCTCGACTCCCGGCCGAACATCTGAACCACGCATACGACCGCCCCAAGATCCTTTGCGGCCGCCCGAAAACGTTTCACATGTTCGGACGGGAGCACGCTGGGGAGACGCAGGTAAGTTTAAACCTGTTTGAAATTTAAAAAAAAAAAAGTTTTTGCATACATCTACTGCTTGCTAGCAATAGATATAAGCAAAAACCGCGGAGGGTTTAATAATCCTTTAACATGCAGTTTTGATAGCTGGCGATAGAAAACTAGTAGTCAAACATTGAAAAAAAAAGACAATAAGGTTATTACCACATGGTTCATATCTGCCAGCGAAACTAGATCACTATTAGTCTATAGGAAAGGATGAAGGAGTTCATGCCTATCTCAGTGATACATCCTACTGTATATGACCACCCTTAAATTGGCACTCAATGTCTGCACCCCTGTACAGACCTTGGGCTGGAGGAAAGAGCCTGTAGGAGCCTGTGCATTGCTGCCATGATGTTGATCGGAGTTGCAATGCTCTGCAGGCTCTAATGTGAAGATTAAATATTTTTATTTAATAATGTGGGTGCATTTATTATAATTTTTGTAAAAGGTGGACTATGCATTTAAAATTAGAGGACACAGGAAACCTTCAGACCTTCCTCACAGAACAAAGATTTTGCTTCACTTACTGCCCTGGTGACTGCATAAATCTCCCCGTTTATAAAGAACTTCCAAATCTGACATTTCTCAATTCCCAACAGTCAGAGCAAAACTAACAAATTGCCCCCGATGTTCAGCAGGCAATAGAAGCAGCCAGTTTGTGAAATAGACTTATATTCAACAAAAATGTAATGTAAAAGGAACGATCTCTGCAGTAGACTCACCCGGATGCTCTAATTTTGTGTGTTTCTGGAGTGTCGAGGTGTTGGAGAAAACCTGTTCACAGGAACTGCACTGCGCAGCAGAGAACTTGGAAGAACGATGATTCTGAGCAGCAAACAGGTCTGGATGATGTGTGCGATTATGGTACCACAAGCCAGACAGTTGCTGTAGAAAAACCAAGAGGATATTTGCCATTATCACACAGAACCTGATAGAATGCCAAAACAGCTGCAAGGGCTATACTCTAGACCAGTGGTTCTCATCCTGTGTAACCTCAGGAACCACATTTGTCCTTGGTCATTAAGTTGCAAAACACTAAAACACACGGCACTGCGGTACCGTGCAGGGAATTGACCTGTGGGCAGGAGGTGCGTTTGGTGTGCCATTCAAAGAAATGGCAACACAATGCACCTCCTGCACAAGAACGCAAGGTAGGTGCGATTGCGTGGTACAGTGCATTAATTGCACAGGGCTGTGCGATTAACACACAGTACTAGTGTGAATGGGCCCTCAAAAACACTCACAGACATTCTCACACACATATACACATAATTATTTTAAATTTAGGATGCACTCTCCTTACTTAGGTAGTCTCCCTACCTTATAAGAACTGGAGTGGATCCTCCGCATGCGGTGCAGTGTGGGCTGCTGTGCACAGCTCCCTTTGCGTGCCCTGTAGAGGTGCTGGGAGTCAAAATGTGATGTCACTCCGGTCCAGGCACCTCTACAGGGCATGTGAGGGAGCTGTAAGCAATGCATGTATGGATGGAGCTCCCTCGCGGCCATACTCCCAGCTCACCTATCCTCAAGCAGACACTCTGCATCGGGCAGTATATTTTGAATGGCTGCTCGGCGCGAGAACTGACAGTACTGCGCTAGGGGGAGGCTGAGGAGCCACTCACATAGTGCAGTGGAAGGCACGTGGTGAGCCCACTGGTTGTGACCCACTTTTGGGTCACGATCCACCAGTAGAGAACCACCACTATAGTCTAACATGGAAATGCTGCATTAAACTCAGGCCAGGGGCAAATGATGGAAGGGGCTGGAGCCCAGCTCCCAAAACACCTCAGACATTTTCAGCAATTGCTATTGATAGCTACTTGTTTAATGCTGTCGGTGGTCTTTGGTTATACTCCTCCTATTCCTGTTGGTCAGTAGATATCTTTTTACATGGTAATGGATTTCCCATGTTTGTATCATTCTTGTTTTAAGAAAACAAATATTAGTATGTGGCTCACAAGGCCAGTGTGCTCTATGTTCTATGTATGTTCTATGTCCTACCTGGAACAAGAGCTGCCAGCCACGCAATTTTGGAGAGAAGAGGATTGTGATTACATTTGTGAGAGATGTAGATAATCAGATCCATTCGATGATCCTGAAGCAGCGTGGGATTAGTTTCTATTTGACACAGATGTTTATCCTCTCAGGCAATTTTAAATATTGGGCCAATTATATTTCACAATGGAAAATCATGACCAAGGGTCCTACACTGCATAGTATACATCTGATGAATTTACATGCAAGAGAGAATATAGAACTTATGTAGTTCCGGTCTTGTCATTAGCACTTTGTGTATCCAAGTATATAGTGATCACCACCCACAGGCGGCGCACCACCACACTTGCTCCCGAGTGCAACACAAATCCAGACAACAAACAGCTGGCACTCTTAGCAAATCCATGATAAAAATGTATTCTTTCATAGTGTATCCAGGGTAAATAAAATGTATAGGCGCTGACATGTTTCAGCCAATCCTGGCATTGCTGATAAGCAATGACAAGGTAAAAAGTGAAAGCCATTTACCTGATAGGCCTTATCACAAATATCACAGTTGTAAGGCTTTCCTCCAACATGGGTGACAATGTGACGTTCTAGAAGAGAGGGGGCGCTGAAAATCTTCTCACATGACGGACACGGGTGATACTCCTTGGAATGTACAACCTGGATGTGTTGTCTGTTCTCCTCCAAAGTTGGGAAACTCATTCTACACTTCTGACAGTCATATGGATCTTCAATGTCTGGGAAGAAAAGGAGGATTCATCAGTCTTCCAAACCCCCATACACATGGGAAACAGATCACATGACAATCCCTTGGAAAATCCCTTTCACATTTAACATTTACCACTCACTACATGTAAAGGGAGTCATCCATGTAAGCAATACGCAATGCAGAATTATCTTTGCAGAACAAGCACAGGGCAAAGGGAAATAGACCCAACACATTACACTGCTGGAAAGGGTTTCACCCTAGGTTGTTGCCAGCTTTCCCTATATATTTAAAGGGGGACTCAACAGTGATGTTATTTCAGTTCATGTTAGATGCGGACAGTTAGCTACCAAACAATTCCTTATATTTCTATATTTTAATGAAAGAATTATTAAAGAAAAAAACAAGAGCTATGGAATACAGAAAGAACTTCACAGTGATGGTTTAAAGATACTTGCTGGAACCTTGCAGGAGTTCAAGCCTGATTGGAGGCTGCATGAGATAAATGAAAACAAATGCACAAACACTACCAAAGGTATGCGCCTGTTAAAGCACAACATACAGCCAAACTTTTTTTTTGTGTTAGTTATGGACAGAGTGAGCAATCGAAGCTCATTTTGTGTTTTAGTGTTACTAGTGTCCAAGACCTCTATCCAAAACTGAAAAATAAAAAGATAACCTTTGAATATTATTTTAAAGTCCACTGTGAAAGAAATCAGAATTGTCACAGATCATTAATTCATAGGACCCCAGTAGCTGCAGATTCCCCACTAAAGTGCATGTTAAGCTAAACCCTTTTTTAAGCTGTCTTTGTTGCTGTTGCAGAGCTTCCACTCACTTCCTGTCTGGTAAAATGTTGTGAGCAGGACAGGAAGTGAGGGGGGAAATCTAAAGTCCTGGATAACATTTAAAAAAAAAATGGCAGAGGTTCTAACATCGGCCCACTTTATCCAAAACTAAAACATGGGAATATTAACTTTTGCGAATACGCCATGCAGCCATTGTCTCCACTGTTTAAATAGGTGTTGCCTGAACAAGTTGTGTTCTTATCTGGCGGGATAAGGTATGCTGCCAGGTCACCTCCTCTCTCGTGAAGCTGTCGGTCCATGCCTTACTTCTCAGAGGGGGTGACACCAAAATGTCTGCCAGTCATTTTGGTGTCACTCTGTGCAGGCCGCAGCCCCCACACCCCCCTGGTGACACCTCTGGATGGGAACCTAGATCCCATCTATTCTACTTACTCCAGGAATTGTTGGATATGGCTTTCATTTTTTTTGGAATCCTATCTAGAGGAGCTGGAGGTTTCACACCCCAGGTTATGGATACAAAGGAACAGATTGTTTCCGCAGTGGGCTGTGCAAGGACCCAGTGGGGAGAGAAAAGGGGGCTTTTTAGAAACCAGTCCAGACCTCGTATATAAAAGTCTTAGAAAAACATTTATTCACTAAATTGTTGTATACATAGTTTAGAACCAAGAAATAAAGTACAAAATCATGTCATCAATAAAAATATATATCATTAATAAAAATACATATTGAATATGCAAGTTCATCGTTAGGTGACAGTACCGTGCGGTTACGAGATATACGGTAATTTTCAGATGATGTAAACGCTCCTATAGGTCCCTACATGTTTCGCCCCCAGAAGGGGCTTCTTCAGGGGAAAGAAGGCAGATCTCCGGGAGAACTGTATTCATGTATGTCCTCGCCAGATGTATAATCAAAGCAACAAAAACTAGATGACATGAAGCAGCTGCAACGAAATCATATAGGAGGTTGATTCTGTCGAAGGTAAACCACCACGAACAACAATAGATGGAGGGATCGCGTCGGAGAACAGCACGCTATACTCCTCAGGGATCACGGGCAGCCGGTGAGGTACACTTAGGGGTCATGAAGTTCTATTAAGGGGACATATATAGACCAGATCTTTTGCCAAGTGTGAAGTTACTGTTTGTATCCCTGGAATCAGATTCAACGGTGAACTTGCATATTCAATATGTATTTTTATTAATGATATATATTTTTATTGATGACATGATTTTGTACTTTATTTCTTGGTTCTAAACTATGTATACAACAATTTAGTGAATAAATGTTTTTCTAAGACTTTTATATACGAGGTCTGGACTGGTTTCTAAAAAGCCCCCTTTTCTCTCCCAAAACTGGGTCCTTGCACAGCCCACTGCGGAAACAATCTGTTCCTCTGTATGACCTTAGGACAGGAATGCGGTCATTATACAACATAGTAACACTTTGTTTCCACTGTCCTAGTCATAAATGTTAATAAATGTAGGGATCTTTAGAAGTCAATTTTGTTTTCCTATTCACCGACTCACGTTGTGGTTAGACAGCCTTTGGATCTGGAACCAGATAGGAGCATTTACTTCTACAATGCATTTGACTGATGTGATCCAATGTGCTATTCCTGTTCCGACTTAAAAATATCGAACTATAAGCACAAAATAAAAGAACATCGCACAGACTATAAAGGCAGACTGCTTAAGGATGTTGGATAATCATGATGAATGCGACCCATAAATGCAGCTAATATATTAGCTTTACTTACTGTGGAATGTGCGCAGATGTATGGAAAGTCCATTGGCCTGGCTGAAACCTTTCCCGCACTCTCGACAGACGTAAGGCTTGTCTCCAGTATGAGTTCTAACATGCCGCGTCAGCTCTATGGATTGTGCAAAGACAGCGTCGCAGTACTGGCACACATACATCTTTCCTAGAATGAAACAGGATTGGTACATGTTAGGTGATGCAATCATTGTTTACTCTTCCAGAAATCAAAAAGAACATTTATAGGGAATATATAAGCAGCATCATTCGTCCAAAAGCAACCAAAAAATTAACCAACAATTAGGTGGGGGTGGGGGGGGAGAAATGAAACCATTATGGCGCAATCCTAATTCCCTCCTTTGAAATGATGAATTGCACCAGGTTGGTGGTGTAAACGCTCTATAAATAAAACTGCAGAAAGTTTACAAAATAGATGTGAAGAAACTGCGAAGGACAGCTTTAAAAACAGGGAAAGTTGCAGGAAGGGAGATTCCCCAAGCCAAAAAATGCCAACACCTGACTTATTTACTAGGGATGTTCAGATACCAAGTACCGTACTCTGTACAAGTACAGATATCGACAAATGATTTCAGGACAGTGGTGGAGTGCGAGAGCTACGTCCCAGCTGCAACCGCTGCAACCCTGGTAGTTCTCATGAAAATGCCAAGTATCAGCACTGGTATCTGGACATCCCTATTATTTACCTTTTTTGAATTCTAAATATGCTGTTCTATAAAAATCTAACTGACTGATCCAGCTGTACCTTCAGAATGCTTCTTCTTGGTGTGGTAGGAGAGGGCGGCAGCCTGTGTAAAGGTCATATGGCAGTGCTTGCACACAAAAGGACGTTCCCCCGTATGGAGACGCTGGTGGTTTTTCAGGGTGGAGTTTGCAGCAAACTTGGCACCGCATTCCTCGCAGGAGAATGGCTTCTCATCAAAATGCTCTGTTCGTTTATGATACTGAAGACCTAAGAGGCACAAAGCACAACACTGTAAGAAAAACTCTACATTATAGGGCATGTATGCAGATGTGTTCTGTGATTTATTTCTTTCTTTCTACATTTATAATGACATTTTCCTTCCAAGAAGCCTGTGTGAAACAGGGAGTGAAGCCTGTGTGAAACACGGAGTAAAGCCTGTGTGAAACACGGAGTGAAGCCTGTGTGAAACACGGAGCGAAGACTGTGTGAAACTTTTATATGCCACTTGTAAAATTTCTAGGTGATATAATGCACAACATTTTTTTTAGATTGTGTTTTTTCTTTAGTTCTAGCCATAGGAAAGAAATCATGCACAAAACTAATACACATTGAAGGGGATTTATCAAAACTAGAGCAGACAAAATCTGGAGCAGCTGGAAACCAATCAGCTTCTCGCTTTCATTTTCAAATCTTACCTGAGCAAACTGAAGAGAGAAGCTGATTGGTTGCCATGCACATCTGCCCCAGGTTTGATAAATGCCCCCATTACCTTTAAAGCCAAACTCCAGCATACATTATTTTTTTAAATGGTCCCTAAAGAAGTTTATAGTTGAAGTGTAATGTACACATAGAATACCTTCCCTTGTTCACATGCAACTAAAATGTTTCAATCAAATTAGTTTGTTTCCAAGAAATACCTATTTTGAGACCCAGTGATGTCACCACAGGGTCTATCTGCTGGTCTTTGCTCTGAGTTTGGTGAGGGGTGTTGGAAGTCTCCTGTAAATGTCTCCGCACCTTGCCTTGGATCTCCTTTCAAGCTTTATGAAGCAACACATCTAAATGCTCTTCTAACATACCTAAAGCCACTGTCATGTAACGCTCCAAGCAGGGTCTTTTCTCCTCATGTTTGCTTGCAGATGGGCTACACTTTAGGTGTCCACATTTCTGCCTGCCTGACATGGACACTCCCCATTGGCTGTCCAGCGCTATTGTACTCTCAGGAGCCACAAGAGGAGTGACGGCAGTTCCCCACACCCGGACAGACTCCAGATGGATGGGGGGGGACTTTGGGCTTTACACAGGTGGAAAGAGAACATCTACCTTTTCATTGCTAAGCTGTCCAAAGTCAGTAAGCTTCCTAAAGTGAAACTCATGCAAATACAAAATGATCATACGATACCTGAAGGATGAGCAAACTCCTTGCCACAAATGTCACAAGTAACCAGCATTCTCCTTTTGCCTTTGTTATTCCGAGAAATCAGGTAGCCATGCACTTCTTCTCTGTGCTGGTCCAGCTCTTTCTTGGAGGCTTGCACCACATTGCAGTCCTTGCACTGTAAAGGATTCCTTTTTGCCATTCTGCAGCGCTTCATATGAACCTCCAGACGACAGCGGAAGAGGAATATCTTGTCGCAGGATTTGCAAATAAAGTTTTTCTTTGAACCCTTTTCTTGAGCGAGTTCTACCCTCTCTTTTTCTGAATCCATCTCTTCATTTTCATCATCCTTAGCTTCCTCATCCTCTTCGTTCCTGTCCCCAATCTCTTCAACGGCATCCATGTGACAGTCATTGCCATCGTTCCACTTGTCATCACTGTGGAAGTTGCACTTACCATCCACCAGCAGCCCTAAAGAATAAAGAAATTATTTCTCAGACATAGCAGGACGTTATTTTATGTTTAAAGGAAATACTAGTGAAAAATAAAAACACGAAGATGCCCTTCTTCAGTATCCTCTCCTCCGGTGATCAGACTGCAATATTGTAACTTTTAAGATACCAGTGCTGATACTTGGCATTTTCATGAGAACTACCAGGGTTGCAGCGGTTGCAGCTGGGACCTGGCTCTGGCGCTCCACCACTGTCCTGAAATCATTAGTCTGTATTGTTTTAGAAAAACTGTCACATGACACTAAACAAAAACGTATCAGTACTTGTACTTGCAAAAATGGTATCGCTTCATCACTATTTATAAAACCAAAATTCTACATTAAAACAGAGATGTACAAATCCCAGGAGCTCCGTGTGCTCCTTACAAATGACAGCTGCCTTTTCTCTAGTCTAGTCTTGGAGCTCGAAAAGTATCTGTACTTGTACAGAGTACGGTACTTGTACAGAGTACGGTACTTGTACAGAGTACGGTACTTGGTATCGGTGCATCCCTAGTAACTTTAAAGCAAGTCACAAGGTGAAAACCTGCAGCAGAGGCTGATCTGTACCAGACATTTGTGAACAGAGCCTGCTGCACAGGCCCCAGGATTTACTCTGAGCCAGGATTCTGGTCCAGGAAATAGATGGTGGCCCTGGACGATATTTGAACAAAGATAGTGCCATCCTTTTAGAGATAAAAGTAGATAAAAGGCATTGTCAGGTGGTGTACTATGAATTATGTGAGCGGTAATCATTGCCTGTAAGGTTTACTCTAGCAAATTACTTAACAAGCATGCACTTAATATGTAAAAATGTGAGCTAGGTCCACCTTTTTGCATATCTCACTTCCCGGTTTTCAATCAACAAGGCAAAGATCAGGAGTAAACTATAACAATCCAAATTCATCTTTCCCCAAACTGACCTCAGTAACCTGAAGACAGTCTGAGTCTTATTGGTTGTTAAATATATATATACATATTACTCTTAGCAAATCCTTCTTTGAATGCAAACAGACTTTAGTCAGGCAAGAATACATAACCCGATTAGAAGAGAACTATGAGGTGACTGATTTCCACTCATCCTCATAGTTAGAGACGACGTGTGACAAAAGAGCTAGCAGAAACGTGCAGCCGATCTGCTCACTTCCCAATCGTCTCTCTGCAGTGAGCGCTGACTGGAGGAACAGAAGGAGGAAAGGCGGACACAGCTGGCTGGATCACGACAGTATTGTCGGTATCCGTCCCGGGTGCGGCGCCCTCAGTATATTGCGGGCAATAGCCCACAATATACTGAGCTTCCGGTCATGGGAGGACGCTAGTATATGTCCTACTGTGACTCTAAACAAAACTATGGGGGAAAACACTTACCCCATAGTTCTGTTTTAAATAGGAGGCTTTAAAGCAGGACTCTGGAAATTGCAAAACAAAAATGCGTAGAGAAATATGTGTAATGTGTAATACTAACATTATTCCTCTCTATGGCAGGCTCCCTCCATCTGTGTATCTGGTCCCACTATCTCTCCTCTAAGATGCTCCATCCACCGGTCGCAGGACCAATAGTCCTGCATTGTACGCAGGGACGCAGAGACAGCCCACAGCCTGGAGTATCAAAGAAACATAGGCCCGGAGCAAGGCATAAGGTAAGTGTTACACCTTATTCCTCTACCCCTAGACCTAAAGAGCACTTAACCTTTGCATTAAGGGGGGGGTGCAGCATACTGCAAGAGCAGATTTTTTGCAATTCTCAGAGTTCAGCTTTAATATCTGTCAAAAGATGAATGACTCAGTAGATCTTCCAGCAGAATACACAGACAGTTGAAATCTCCTCACCATTTTGCTCCAGATCTTTGAACACGGGCTTTAATTCAGGGGCAGAGTCTTTGGCAGTGCACAGCAAGTGGCAGAACTTCATGACAGGGATATTGTTCTGTAGTGCAGCACTCAGAACCATCTTTGAAGACAAATCTCCATCTTCTGGTTGATCTTGGATACTTAACAGCTGTAAAAAAGGAATGGCTATTAGTTTGCTGGGGTTGACATGTAAATGCATGCTCATTAATATAGTGACTGTCTCAGGACCAATGGCGCGGTCAACGTCAGTCCAGTGAATTCTCTATAAGGAGTGGAGTGTTTAATGGTGAGGTTCTTGACAACATATATGCAGATTGCCCACCATGGTCACTATGTAAAGGCAGTATAACTGATCAAGCTCAACAGATGTCATGTGGTACTGAATGAAAGTCACCAAACAGAATTGGATTGCGTCATTTTATATATATTAATAGGCGCATATCACCAGGATACATTTCTTTCTTCGCAAAGGATTTTTTTTTTTTCATTGTTATGATCAGTGCAATAAGTCAATGTTTTGGGGATATATGGTGCCAAAGGAAATCAAAATCCAATTGATCCCATCGCACTCCTGACCGGTAAATAGCCCAATATACAGTGCGGGTGTATATTGAATGGAGTTAAATGGAAATCGAATTGGAGTGCGAGTAGCTTTTTCATTGGCTGTATGGGCCAAAGGGGCCCCTCAGTCTGGAAACATTAATCAGTGCTATTGAGCTAGAGATATATACCCATTTCCATGGTGCCACTAGATCACTTCAGCATAACTTTTACTGAAGTGGCTGCATAAGAGTGTACAGTATATATAAAAAACCCAACCCAAATTCTATATTAAAAGGGACACTAAACTCAGGAGTTACATTTTAAAAATGTATCTTGTTTGTGTATCACTTAGTTTTAGATCCTCAAATCATCTCTGAATTGGTGCTGACACTGTCCTTCCTTCTGGAGGGTGGCTACTTGTGTTCCCCATGGTCCCCGTGTGTGTTATAAAGTAGTCACCGCTCCAAGCTCGGTCACATGATGGACTACAATCTCACATTTAGTTTACTAATTTGTAGTGAGATTGTAGTCCATCATGTGACTGAGCTTGGAGCGGTGACTACTTTACAACACACACAGGGACCATGGGGAACCGAAGTAGCCCCCCTCCAGAAGGAAGGACAGTGTCAGCACCAATTCAGGGATAATTGGAGGATCTACAGCTGAGTGATACACAAATAAGATAGATTAAAAAAAGTTATTCTCAGCAAAGGTTCTGGAAACCACTTCTGGAAACACATCTCAACACCAATACAAGAACAACACAGCAGATATTTCAAAACTGAAGCAAAGTCTCCATTTTTGCCACAGTTTTCTGTACTTCAGCTGTTATAAACATGTCTACAAAAGTTTGAAATAAAACACAAACCTCTTTCAGCAGATCACTCAAGGCTTCATCTTCAGATGCCAATGAACTAAGGTGCTCACACTGCCTAAATGCTTGTGCAATTAACGAGCTATGGTGAATCAAAATTTCAGCGACCTCGTTTTCTCTATTCAACACTGTCAAAAAATAAATAAATAATAATATAGCGAAACAGAGCAGAAACAGTAAGCAATATTTCTGACTTCACTAGCTTCTGCATATCCTCTGCAGTACATCATAATAAGGAAGCAACATTTCTGTAGTGCAGCGGCCTGAGGTGAAGGGAATAACTCAATTGCTTCTCTACTGCTGGCTTCGACTCTACCAAGAGAATTAGTGAAAACTGCATGTTTGCGTTGACTTCCTTAAAGCCTATGCGTGCTCAAAGCCCAATGCCAGCCAAATAGTGTCGAAGAGTTATTTGTCTGTGACTATCTGGGAGATTTGTCATCACTTCCTGTCCCAGTGATACCAGTACAAAAAATGAATAGAGAAGTTCTTGCTGACACAGGAAGACATGGACTACAATAAAAGAATTTGCAGTTCTAACCCTTCCCTGTTCCCCTGCTGGAAATATTTCCCATAATTTCCTATCCTGACACAAGAAGTGTATGGGAAGACTCTCCCGTATAGACATAGCAGCAATAAAAACGGAATAGCTCCAACTTTTCCCCACTATATCCCCAAAAAAGTTTTGGCTTTAGATGAGCTATACATAAACTGTGACTCAACATGCACGTAGCAATATTTTGTAGGTACATGTGAAGAAGCCAGTGTCTGTAAAGGGGCAACCTCTCATTAAAGTGAGAACATTCAAAAAGGTATTCCCTTTATTTCCCCTTTAAAACTTGCCCTTTAATTTGTATGCATGTCTCTGAAAGAGCCATACCACTCTGGAAGAAGACATCAGCTCCTGGTTCTTTACGGACCTCCTCCATCAGAGACCTCACAGCTGGGCTCAGTTCTTCCATGGCTAAAAGTAACTGCCAGACAGCCATTGCAGGTAACGTTTGTTCTTCAAAAACTGTGAATATCAAAATGCCAAAAATGCGCGTGTTGCAGTTTTTCCTGACAATCTGCTCCATCATCTAAAAAGAGAATGTAATAATAAAAAATAATATGTATTTAATGTATAACTTTATCCCAACACTGAACATGTGTAGAGGAGGGGAGAGCACAGGAATCGCATCAATGTACCGAGTTTCCTTCATTATCCAATCAGTAGGCAGGGAGAAGGGAGATCACTTGGAAAGAAAAACTTCAACGCCATATACTGTTGACGTTTCCTATACTCTCCCATTACATCTCTCATGGGTCAGTACCTCGAACATAAACTTTAGGCAAGAAGGGCGCTTGAACTGTGCACACACTATAAGATTAAGGCAGGACATATGTAAGGTGTACATAATGGAGATTGTGAGATTATTTTTGCCTGGATTTATGTATTAAGGGCTTGTTCACACCATATACAGTGCGTTGCAGCTTGGTTAGCTGCTGGAACTGTATTGCAACCCGGCCGGCTTCCTGCGTTCAGCGGCGGGAGAGGGCGTGGCGGTGCATTGAAGTCAATGGCACCGCAGCCACGCCCCCCGCCCGCACCAGAACGCGTGGCACATTAATACCTGCGTTATAGTCCAATGCGACCTGAAAAAATGCTGCATGCACTATTATTTCAGATTGCGCTGGACACTGTATAAGAGGTGAACAAGCCCTAAAGAGAAGCTCCTACCAAGAAAAAAAAAAAAAAGGTTAGAATTTTTCAAATTTGTTTTAAAAATAACTTTCAGCACTTAATGTCTTCTTAGTTAAGCAATGGAAGGGTCAAAGGGGCACCATAATTGGGCTGTGCGGAGGGCATCAATTGCCCTCAATTCAGCCATGACTGTTTACTGCTCCCTCTAGTGGATTATCCATAGCAACATACCAGGTATCATTTTTTTTCCTGGGGACATAAGCAGCTCGGTGTGCAACAACCACAGAAGTCGTGGAGGAATATCAACCCACAAAAGGAAGGAATTTATGACATGGAAGAGAACGAAAGACAAACATTAAGAAATCTAACTGGGAATATGTTGGGTTTTAGGGTCAGCATACAGAGGCTTCAGAATAAGACTCAATATAAAGTGCAAAATGCTTTCCGGTTAAACACTTGCATCGGATACTGCTTTTGGACACTTTTAGATGCTTTTACATTGATCTGTATAAAGATCAAAATCAAAGTAACATAACTCATGACAAAAGCAACAAACACAAGTGTCCACCACTCCATGCAATCCAAAATTCAAACATGCCATACCCGAGCCTTCAAAAATACTTCTCAAGCGGCTGTCAGAAGCAAATACACAAATGTTTGTACAAAAGCCCTAAAAACATCACGATGCTACAAAAGGGAAACAGGAACTTGCCTCTTTCTCGTGATCTGTTAAATACAATGCTGTTGAAATGCCACCAAGGATGACATCAGCTTCGTTCACCACCTCCGAAAAATTCTCCTGATATTGTTTTAGCAACTCTGCTCCATAATCGGCTGCACTCAGCTTGCCTGGATCGGGAGAAAACAGAATATGTTACAGAAGATTGATATGCTGCCAGTGTTAAGGAAGAACCCAATCCATTGTCTTGAAATGTAATCCAAGTTTATTGAATGTACATACATGGCACTTTACCAGCTAAAAAAAGAGAAAATGCTAAATTGTTTACATTTCAGGATATACTTATACCATCTGTCTCATCTGAGCCAAGACGCTGATTAACATACGATATACCCTTCATTAATGCCAGCAAACTTACTCCAGACCACCAAACATACAAAGATTCCCACTACGTTTTCCACACTATTCCTTCTTTTACAATCTCACACAATTTTCTTTCAAACAGGAATTGTTTCATTACTCTAAAGTTTGCGCATAATTACAAACGGCAAAAAATTGCCCTGGGCAGTCAACACGCGACCTTTTGTAAATCTACCTACTACAGTCTGAAACTGAAGCTAAGGAGCACTGAGGGTAAAAAATAGCCTGGCAGTAGGTTTGTAGGACATACCAAGGAAACTAGAACACCCAGCAGAAAATTACCCAGTGAGAACTGAAGCCAGGACCCGTGTGCTCCAAGTTCACAATGCTAAACCTCTGTATTGATTTCTAGATGGCCACTTACATACTTTCACATCTGCCAAGATGAACTTAAAATGTATTGTGGAAGACAAAAACCACTCTCCTGGGTTTGTTTCATACCTTGAATGTTGGATTTTTTGCTGTGTGGCTCCAGTTGATCAAGCAAAGTGTGGAGATCAGGAAATGCTTCTCTGACAGCTTGAAGAAGCTTGACGAGACTGTCGGGGCACAGGGTTTTGGTTTCTGATGCTTTCCTCAACATTTTATCCATAGCTTCCTTATGTGATCCACATTCACAGCAGTCAGTGATCACCTATCAATGTATTCACTTTTAGATAACTTCCACAAGTTACAAAAAAATGCAGGCTTGCTCAAACCACAAATACACACATCAAAGATATTTGGCTACTGGCATATTTGAGATAAGACTTTAAAGTGACTTGAATGTAAAATAGATCAATAAAACGCTTTTTAGGTATAACATGCCGCAATGTATCTGCAACAGTTTTCACAGCCCCCTCTACACCCAAATATGCAGGGCCAAAAAGGTTCCACGTAGTTCCAGGTAGTGCTGGAGCTTGCCTATGCTCTCCCACACAATCCTACTGCCTCTTAAAATATGAAGGGCTGCCTCACTGGACAAAAGGGTTGTGTATGTGGCAGGCAAGATCCATTATTGCCAAGAAAGGGACAGCACTGTTCCGGATCAAAATGGCCTGTCATTTAGTCATAGAGTGGGCAATAAAAGCCGCTACCTGCCCAAACACACCATTTACATCATATCCTTACACTGTAGGTTAAGAACTGCAGTGCTGGACAGAATCTGTTCATTCAATGTGTCTTGGAGAAAATGATAGGTGGAATCTGTCTTGTTGCTACAGGGCAATATAGAGAGTTCTTATTGTAAGCATATTTGTAAATGACTAGCATTCTCTCATAAGCAGCAATAATTATTGTTCAATTAGAATAACAAACCCAAGAAGGCAAACAGGTCGGTCTCATGGAAACATGTTATCAGAGGAAAGTCTTGACCTTTACTACTGTAGAGCATTGATCTTATTATACACATACAGTGCAGGTCAAGGCACTTCAATAAACTTTGTATGGGAGTGTATGTGCACAGCTGTCTTGCACCTGCTGAACACTAATGTACCAAGTTTAACACTTAATCTGACTTAACGCACGTGTACATTGGGACAAATAGGTTCCAGTCTTCCTAAACAAAAGCCATTGTAAATACCTTCTTCTCAATGTTGGTCAGAAAGCCCTCCTCTGCTGTATCTAGGCACTCTATGATTGGACTGAGTTCTGTAATACACTGGATCAGCTCTTCTCTTCGTTCCATCAGAAGATCAAATAAGGTCTTTTCTCTTTCCACTGGTTCCAGAGGCCCTGTGACAAACAAGACAATTAGGTAATTAATAAACCATGTGGAAACCGAAAGCTTGGTAGCTTCTGTGCTTGATGACCCATCTGCACCACTTGCATTGCAACAATGTACGTTACCTGCATTGGCACGCTGTGGTGCTATTCCCCAATGCACCTCTAAAAACGTACAGGTGGGGGAGGCAGCACATACCTAGCAGTGTAAAATCACTTCCAACAAAAAGCCAGCAGCCAGGAACAAAAATTTAAACAAGTTCCTGGCTGCTATAGTTGACAGCAGTTTGTGTACACGACAGCACTGTCAGCAACATAATTGCTACGTCGGCAACAGTGAAAGGGTCAACAAGACGAATGCTCAAATATAAAAAAAAATATGTCTTTGTCCCTGAGCAGAGAGTGGGTACCCATAGATATTTGAGAGCAGAAAAAGAAAGGAGACGAAAGAAAAGAATTAGAGGTGCATGGAAATGGAAATTTCAAAACAGAAACGAAAAAAAATTGTCAGGCCGAAATTGAAAGTTTTATTTACATTTTTTCAAATGTTAACATTATTTTTATTTCTTTGTTATAAACGTTTTAATTTTTTAATAATTTTATTTACTAATTCATTTTTACTTTACTTTTAGGGGCTTCAGGGAAATATTAGGGGTCTAAACAGACCCCTGATATTTCCCTTTTAAAATAGAAAAAGAGATTGAAGACATAAAGTCCTCAATCTCTTTTTCTGCAGCCCCTGTTATCAATGATCAGGAATGCTCTATACTGAGTGTTCCTGTTCATTCATAACTTGAGAACATTGTGTGTTTACTATAACTACAACTATGAATGAACATGAATGGTGATGTAGATCACTTCCATTCATTCATAATTGAGAATATAGTACACATAGAATGTCCTCAATTATCTACAAACACTCAGCGATCACTGATAGCTGAGTGTTTGCACTCACTCTTCTCTCCGACAGCTGTCACAGGAGGCTAAGCGAGCGGTGCGGGAGGAGAACTCAGCCTTCCGTCACAGCGCGATATGTCTCCGCCCCCACACCGCTCTGCCGGACTGTGATAGGAGGCTGAGCGGTGTGGGAGGAGAGACGCCGGCCGCTCACAGCGCTCTCCTCCCGCAGCGCTCAGCCACCTGTCACACTTTCTCTCCTCCCCGCTGGGACACAGAGCAGCGCCCAGCGGGGACAAAGAAAGCACGGATGCGCCGATGTGTCAGCAGGAAAATGGCACAAAATTTAGCCAAAAGTGCCATTTTCATCCGATATGTTTCAGTGGCCGATATATCGGTGCATCCCTAAAAAGAATAACTAAATATCACATCCCTTTTTCTTCTGTCCCCTTTACCAGTCCTCGTCCTTCCAAGGTCTTTGTTGTGGGCCTGCTGGCAGTCTCCTGGCCAGGCTCTGCTTTGTCCTTGGCATGTGCAGAACAATCTCTGTTTAATTCCTATTGAAATACCAAGGCTGAACAGCCCTTCCATAGGTGAATGTAGACTCTTCTATGCATGCCGAGCCTGGTCAGGGGACTCGGTGAAGAAGCACAGTGGCACTGGCAGGGAGGATTTCAGAGGTGAAGGGACAGTCAAGTATAAGACTTGCGGGTTTGAAATATAAAGTACAGTTATCCTTTAAGAGGTGACAGTGTGGACTTGAAGGAGCGTATATTCTTTTACAAACAAGACTGGGCTAACAAAAAAAGATATTTACTAAATCTACTACATTATGCCAGACTTGAGGTGGCCATACACTGTTCTATTTTTTTTTCAACCAGAACAAAAAAGATAGAACAGATTCCTTCATCAACACTTACGAGCATTGATCAAGGAATCTTCTGCTGTCTTCATTGTATTCTGACAGTGGACACTAAAACAGAACACCTGAACAGAACCGGCAGCTCGTTGGCTGCCCGCTCTGTTCATTCAGAGATATTCCAACTGGCTCCTTCGATCAGCTGATCGAGGGATGCCAGCCGAAAGGGTGCCGGCTGGTTACTTAAAGGACCAGATGAAATTTGCACAGTGTATGGCCACCTTTAGACTTGATTTTGATATTACCTGTATCTACAGCTACTTCCTTCACAGGATCTTTGGATTGTGGCTCTTTCTCAAGCAATGCTTCATTCACACTTGGATTGGTGTCACGACACAACTTCAGCAAAGCCAAAACAGTCTCAACGACAATACTCTGCCCATCTTTAACCTTTTCTAGAAGTTTGGCAAACGTTGAACTCCCCTCTTCAGCTTGGCAACATTCCATCACAACCTGCGGAACAGCACAGAAAAACATACCCTTTACTTGGAGATATTTCAATACTGAAAATGTAGACAATTCGGTGTCATATCTAAAATGTGTTTATAGTAGAACAGCTCATCAAGACTGGTGCCTGATACAAACAGCAGAGAGGCCACTGAGAAAATGTAAAACCGATGCAATTGTAAACTTGCTTTACCCATTTTGTCAAGGCATATTCCATATATCACGGGCTGTGTAACATTGGGTACAACCTTGAGATATGGTACATGCGTTTAGCAATTAAAGGGTTAAAAGGAACAATACTTCCTACTTGTAACCTATGAGAAGGAGCAGACATTAAAATCGGCAATGATACCATTATGTCTGCTATGGAGTGAGGAAATTACACATTTTTAACTCCATGAACAGACTTGTTTCAGAAGTGCAAAAGACTAGCAGTCCCCAAACGTTAGCAGCTCTAACATAAGAAATGCCCGTGAGCCCTGCTAAGCATTCAAATAACTTTCATTAGAAATAATATGATTTACTTTCATGAGACAATTACATTAATGATACTCTGGCTTTATTGCTTTTGTAAAGTCTACAATGCGAAATCCAATTATCTCCACATTTTCACATCATGGACTTTTCTTTACAGGGAATGTTTTTAACCCCTTCATGACTGAGCTAGTTTTCAGGTTCTGTTCATAAATGAACGAAGGGTTGTGTTTTGTGCTGTTTCAGATACAATTTGCACTTAGTAGAGAGACACTAAGAAAATAATACATAAAAAGGGGTGTTAATAAAAATGACATAAATAAGAGAATCCTATTAAAGTGTTTGTTATACTAGAATAAGAACACTGCATGCTTTTTGATCTGTTGAAAAATACCTGGTGATCCTGTCAGTGTTCTTGACCCAACCCCAACCCACTTCTTGTCTTCTCCTGTCAATGCTAAGCAGTCTACAATAGCCCATGGTAGATTTGTCAGGTGGTGTGTCTGTAGTCCAATTATCAGTCTGTGATGGCACAGGCCGACACCCCCTGTACAGATCGGCAGGACAATGAATGACAACTGCTCTGGTATTTCTGTACACAGCCCCGCTTCTCTCCAGCGGTCATGTGACCGCTTAAACAAAATGCATGCATTCCTTCACAGATACTTTATAGTATTCAACAGAAAAGGAAATATAGGAATATTAGGAATACAAAGCATTCCCAGCCACCTGAACTTATCATGCATTATTTCCAACCTATGGAACCCGATTGGCTGCTATGGACGATACTAACTCTACATTTTGTTATGTCAGCCCCAGCGAGTTGCAGACGGATCCTTTCTTCCTTTACCAGCACTCTCACCTGTTTTTCAGCTTCTTTGATATCGTCACACTTTTTCAGATTTTCAAGAACACTTTGGGGGTCTGAGAGCGCCTCGCTGAAGATGCTCTCATAACGGATAAGAAAATCCAACTCACCCGATGCTTTTTCCGACTCTAAACATAAAATACATCAAGCAACATTAACAAAGAACAAATAAGGAAACACAAACAAAGACCATTATCCCACTTTTAAAGGACCAGTTATAGTGGTTACCAAATACAGCAACATTATAGGATCAGATAAATGTTGCAGGTTTTTCTTTTATCGTCAAAGCCATGGTCTCTATTAGGGATGCACAGATACCGGTTTTACGGTACCGAGTACCGATATTTATATTTCGGTACTAGCAGATAACGAGTACCGATACCACCGGTAGCATAGAGCTGGCTTCCCAGATAATCGGGGAGCCAGGCAGCATGTCATTACCCACCGCTTGGCTTCTTGATTGCCCGGGAGGCCAACTACATTCTGTTTGGCCGGCTTGATGTCGATGGGAAGGAAAGTCAGCTTCCCAGCCAATCGGCATCTAGGCCGGCCAAATAGATCTGACAATATGGTGACACAACCTACACCCTGCAGACCCCTCATTCTCCTTACTTCGATCCTCAGCAGCATTTATTACTGTACCACAGATGCGCCTCAGCCAGCTCTGCCCAGAGCTCTCATTCAGACATCCTCTGGCGGTGCTGGCACTGTGCACACAGGAGGCGTAGGCAGATCCGGGAGAGCGGTGTCTGCCCAGCTGGCTGAGGGACTGGTACGGTAATGACTGCTGCTGAGGATCTATGTCAGGGGAATAATTTGTCTGCAAGGTGGGGTTCGTGTCACCATATTATCAGATTAGTTTGCCCGGCCCGTGGCTGATTGGCTTCCCAGCCAATCAGCATGGAGCCAGCTTCCTGGCTCCATGTTCCCTTGTGGCACTGCCAGTCAGAGGAAATCTCCCTCTGACCGGAAGTTCCAATATCGGGAAAGGTATCGGAGCATTTGGGCACGTACTCGCCCAAATACTCAGTATCCAGACCAATACTGATACTAGTATCAGCATCAGTGCGTCTCTATATTTACATATGATGTGATGATGGGGTGAGCAGCATGTTCCACAAACATTTTTATGGTTACAGTTTACCTTGGCTCTGCTGTATGGTGCGAGGGTTTGGCGAAAACATGTCAGCTCTCTGACAGAACATGGCAGCATTAGTGTGTGCAACAACATCATCTCTAATTCTAATTTCTCCTGGGGTTGTGCTGTATCAGCAGTTAATTTGAGAATATTTAGATGCCTGGGCAGAGAATGGCATCTTGAGACTGCTGAAGGTAGTTTTGCATTTCCCCTGAGTTCAGCTTTAATGTATACATAGTCACAGTCTATAACCAAAACTTTTTGGGGGGGGAATTGAATGCGGAAAGGTTAGAGCCCGTCAGGTTTTGCTGCTACCTGGGGTTGTTAGAGAGATTTCACTTTCACTTACTGTCCATGGGACAAATCTGCAACAGGAAAACAAACAGCACTAAACATCTGACAGATGTTCTAGCACTTCCCCAACTTAACTTAAAATAAAACATGCCTACTTCTCTCTGTGTTGCTGTTATAGTGATTTCCTCTCACTTCCTATCCTGGGGACTACTTTTTTTGACCAGAGAGGATGTTTAGGTTGGGCTGATCAAGATGAGGGGTGATTTATTGAGGCTTTGTAATATGTGGTGGAGTTAGTGGATGATAAGTATTCGGCACCAGGATCTCAGCTGTATTGTTCTGGAACTGTATGGTCATTTTTCCTTGCCGAGATCTATGGCCTCAGATACAGTAAGTATGCTGCAGAGAAAGAGTTTATGTATCTTTCGGGATTACTTTAGGGGGTAGGGTAGTCTTTGCGTAAGTGTCAATGGACAGATGGTTTGGATTTATAGGGTAAGCGTCTGAGGAGAGGTTATGTGTTAATATATGCGTCAGGGAGAGCCTCTAATCACTAACGGAACTAATAAAACTGTAATTAAATAACCTGCCAAAATACACACATTTTATGAAATCATAAGATTAATAATCCAGAGAAACATGCATTTTAAGGAAGGTGTGGATCATATTGCAAATGAACAAACATGTACAAAAATAATTCTTTAGACATTAGAGTGACACTAAACTCAGGATTTAAAAACTTAAAAAGCATTCAAGTAGCCCATCAACAAAAATTTATCTTATTTGTGTATCACTCGGCTGTAGGTCCTCAAATCATTTCTGAATTGGTGCCGACACTGTCCTTCCTTCTGGAGGGGGGCTACTTTTGTTCCCCATGGTTCCTGTGTGTTGTAAAGTAGTCACCGCTCCAAGCTCGCTCCCGCGATGGACTACAATCTCAATAGAAATGAGTAAACTAAACATGAGATTGTAGTCCATCACGGGAGTGAGCTTGGAGCGGTGACTACTTTACAACACACACAGGGACCATGGAGAACAAAAAGTAGCCACCCTCCAGAAGGAAGGACAGTGTCAGCACCAGTTCAGAGATGATTTGAGGATCTACAGCCGAGCGACACACAAATAAGATACAATTTTGGTAATAGTTAAGGCAATTAAATGCAATTTTAAGCTTTAAATCCTGGGTATAGTGTCACTTTAATTTAGGTGTTACCTGGCTTATCAAGTCTTCTTTTCTTTGCTGCGGGCTCAGCACTCTCCTCAGCTTGAGGCAGTTTGTCATCTTGTTCTGTGGACTCTGGGAAGGTTCCAGTACATGTCTCCTCTATAGCAGAGTCTGTGGTTTCTTCTTCTACTACTGTTTCAGATACCAGCTGATCTGTGGACTCCTCATGTATTGGTTGAACACATGGCACAGTTTCATCCTTAGCAGGACAATGTTCTTCATCCAACCCCTCAGATATCAGTGTTGCATCTATCTGTGCAGGGCTTGGTGGTCTAGCAACATGTGAAGGCCCAGTCACACAATCCTCCTTTTCTTTAACACCTTTGGAACCCTGTTGTGGTTTAACTTGTTCTGCGGAGCACTTAGGAGGTGCAGGATTGCTGGTGTGCAGGTTCCCATTAGTGTCCAGCTTCTTAGAAGAAGAAGTGAGCGTTGAAACTTTATCAGCTTCGCGCTGCTCAGGAGTAGAAGCTAGAGCCATCCCCCCAGTATTCATGGGCAGTAACATCTTATCGATGGCAAAAGTCTCACTTACGACGTTGCTCCTGGGGACCGCAGGCCTGGCCTCTGGTTTACCCAAGGTTAATGGCTTAATGGAAACATCCTTCACCTTTTGGCTCTGGGTGGAGTGATTCATGAGCTCCGTCAGGAGGTTCTTACAGCTCACGGCCACATCAAACATTTGGAGGCTGTCTGCCACAGAGATAATTTTTGTCAGATTGTGTTTTCCCGGTGGAAGTTTTCCTGAGTACATCATCTCCAGCAGCAAAGAGAATTCTTCCGGGGACACAACAGAGGAATCGATGGAAATGGTTTCCGTTGTTTCCAGCAGGGACTTAAAGAGGAGACTTGCGGCAGAAAGGACAAGCTTGTGAGCTCGGAAATGCAACGTGCCAACGAAAATTGTGCAGTCGCAAAACTGCTGCTCTTTACACAACGTGTAGACTTGCTGCAAGAGCTGTCGACTGTAATTTGGAAGCTCCATTGCTGAAATATAATCTCTATTGTAGGATGTATCCTTGAGGGTTTTGCCCCTACATAGACAGGGAAGATAAAAGATAATTGCTGCATCTTCATCAATTCATTCAAGAAGCACTTTAAAAAAAAACAAAAAAAACAGGTGAATTTACTAACCCCGGAGTGGACACAAGCTGCAGCAGCTGTGCATGGCAGCCAATCAGCTTCTAGCTTTCATTTGAAGCTTTAAGGAGAATTATTGGGAGAGTGAAATACACTCATCCACATAGTTAGAGCCAACGTGCGACACTGTAGCTGTCACACACCGGGTCTATTGATCGAGAACCTATCTTCTCCCTGCAGTCACCACTCCCCGCAGGGATTCCCCCCTTCCCTCTCTGTTCCTCCAGCACTCATTGGAGGGGCAGACAGGAGAGGGGGGCGGACACAGCTGACTCTGAAGAGGCAGAGCCAGCTGTCAATTAGGCAGGCAACAATAGTGTCAGGATCTTTCCCGGCTGCAGCGTGGCTCTGTGCTGTCAGCATAAAGTGAGCTAGTTGCCCACTACATGCTGAGTTTGGGTCACAGGAAGACATCAGTAATTGTCCTCCTGTGACCCAAAAGAGAACTAAAGCCAAAAGAAGGCTTGGCCATAGCTCTCTTTAAGTTTTTCGATGACATGCACATGGTCTGGGGCTGTCACCATCACATTGACTTCACTACTGGCTGACCTGGAACAAGCACGCAGGATGGCAGCTCAGACTTTTCAGACTCCGCTGGCTGTGTGCTTGTTCCAGGTAAGTGATTTACCAAGTAGTGAGGCGGGATCATAATGACAGCCACAGAGCCCGCACCTTTAGGGCCCGTTCACACCAGCCCCGCGTTGCCCGACACATATGACAAGGCAAAATCTCATGTCCTATTATGTCCAGTCCACACACTGCGGTGGTTTGTGCTGAAACAGGACCGGTTGCATGTTTACGCAGCGCATTGTTACACGCTACAACGCATTGCAAAACGCTCCAGTGCATAGAGTTAAAGATTTGCCTGCTGGGTGGGCATGTTACATCTTCAGTAAAGGCTTTTCTCCACAGGAAAGGGAATGGACCAGTCAGACTGTGCAGCATAGTGAAACTTCACACTCAGCAACACACATTCCAGCACTGCTGCTCTCCACTCCTGGCTATCACCAGTCTGACCATGCACGATAGGAAGAAGCCAAGGCCAGCCATGCTGGCACTTGTAGCTCTCCAGCTCTTGCAGGGCCGCAGGTAGTGTGTGGCAGCATTGCCTCCTCCCCGGGGATAATGGCGCCCTACCCGCCACACTCACCAGGTCCGTTCTCCGGGGTGACAGCGCAGTGTTTATCTTCCGGTGCCGGTTTCCTGTGACACCTCCTCCTCCTTCATGTCCCACGCTAGGCCCGAATCCCCCAGCCTTCCCCTTCGACCTCGGCAGCCGTCATACGCACAGGAAGCACTCCTCACGCACCGCGCGCATGCGCAAGCCGGACAAGCCGAGCGCTGTTTGTTTTAGGCGGAGCAATAAAGTTATTGAGGGAAAAAAAAGGATGTTCAATCTCCTGGGTGGAGCAATAAAGTTATCAAAGGAAAAAGGGATGTTTAATCCCTTGGGCGGAGCAATAAAGTTATAAACGGAAAAGAAGGATGCTTAATCCCTTGGGTGGAGCAATAAAGTTATCAAGGGAGAAAAAAAAGATGTTCAATCTCCTAACTTCCTGTTGCGCCTTTGGGGCAGGAAATTAAGGGAATTTTCTCCATTGGTACACGGACAACAAAAAAATAACCCGGCATGGGTTTTCATCCTTACCTACACTACTAAAAGCAAAAAAAAAAATGTTTTGGCTGTAGATACACTTTAAATAGGACTACCTCCTTAGCTAATCTAGCTTGGTACGGCACCATTCTATACAATGTAACCACAAGTGCAAAGATTTCTGCACTGAGGATGTCAAAGCAAAAGTATAAAAGCATTTCGAGAAAACTTAGTTCATGTCTTTCATAGATTTGTGACTCTTTTTGCATTGTTTGCAACAGCCACGGAGAAGTCACTCTATTTCTGTTAATAAGCACTATGAGTGCAATTTGACGATTACTTTGATTGGCAGGCGATGTTGGTGGAGAAGATGCAGGGCTAAACAGGGTAGCGGCTAGTTCCCATCCCGCAGATTACCCTGTGACGTCACAGGAAACATGTGACCAGGAAGCAGGCATTACTAGCCGGGAAACTCTAATGAATAGGAGCTGCTATACAGTGATCGAGAGGCTGCCATCAGATCACACGTTTTTCACTGTAGGTCTCCCTCTCACGCCCCCGTCCTATTAACTTGTACTTCCAGCAATGCGATTGTATCCCCCTATACCAGTGGTGGGGAACCTCGGCACTCCGGCTGTTTTGGAACTACAAGTCCCACGAGGCATTGCAAGGCTCTGACAGCCACAGACATAACTCCCAGAGGCAGATGCATCTTGGGATTTGTAGTTTTGGCACAGCTGGAGTGCCAACGTTCGCCACCACTGCGCTATACCATTGCAATCATTTTTGCCGTTCATGCCGTGTAAATCCAATAAAAACAACATGCATAAAAAAATTATCATCAAATTAAAAAACTGATCTGTGTTCTCTGTGCTGGAAAAGATGAAAAACATAAAACGCGCTAAAAGAATAGAAATGTCCCATCTGTCCGATGTCTCTGCGCGCCATGTTTTATATAAATGCTCCACATACAGGAAAACCGCCAGAAATCCAGAGAGCTCCACGCTTCTTGTATTACACATCGTTACATAGTATCTGAGGTTAGGGATAGGACCGCCTCTGACACAGGGGACCGTCATGGAGGCGCTGGGTATAGATGATTGGCAATGTATTGTTATTATGATGATCACGTCAATTGGCCACATTGGATTTACTTCTTTCTGATTGGTGTAGGATTAGCTCCTCCCTCCTTCACAGATATCAGTGGTCAGGTCATGTGACTGATGTAATGACCGGCTGCCATTTTCTCTCTCACAGTTGGTGTGATTTGGATGTCTTGCCGTGTGTGTCGCAGGGGTTGGTAGGGAAGGTGGGAAGCGGCACCTCGGGGTGTGATATGGACGTCCCATTATTTATACATTCAAATGTTACAGCCAGCGTTGGGTCTAACAATGGAAGACAATGACAGGAGGTTTGTGCAGAGCATTCACCGAGGATTCACCCGGATTGTGCATGTTTATAGAGAGTATACACAGTATACATAATATATACACACAGCCTGGACTGGGCTCGTCTGTATCACAAATAACACAACTCAATGTACAGAAAACACACAAATAATACAA